GACAAAGAATCTAGTTTCTAAATCAAACACCCACAGTTACCCGTCCCCTCATGGGTAAAAGTCCATCCAAATGGGATTGGCCCAGAGCAAGGCCCCAAAGCCTGCCACAAGTCTAAAGTACCTTCAAGTGGGGACCCACTAAAGCACCTTCAAGTGGGGACCCACAAAAAAGGGTCAGAAATAACCAGACAAGTTTGGGAGGAAAAGAGCAAAATCAAAATCAAGACAAAAACCGCCATTGTCACCTCCCCCCGGGTCTCTCACCCACGTCTCTGTCACCCGGTCCACGACCAAAAGGCAAGTGCAGTTTCCTCACGTGTCTCTCGGCTCCATGTGCCTCCTCCAGGTCTCCTTCTGGCTCCATCCTGCTTCCTCCTTCCTCAGTCTCCTCTGCAGCTTCTTCTCTCCCTTCTCAGCTCCACCTGCCCTTGGGTAAGGCAGGAAACCTGGAACCTCTCCCTTTCCTGGGGACCCCCCCTGTTACGGTTCAACACATCAAGATTTCTTTTTCTTTCCCTTGAAAAACTGACTGTCCTTGCAGATGATCTTCAAGGACACTGTCTCTGTGTGGACCCAGCTGTGTGGGGGGCTTCTATCTTGGGTGTCAGCTGGCACCGGGCTCCCATCATCCCAGTGCAGGGCAGAACCCCAGAGCCTGTGCCTACTGTGAGGAGTGCTTCAGTGAAACAACACATGCCACCTCGTCCATCCTCACCAGTGCCTGCAGCATGACCCCCAGGGGCCTCTCAGCTCAGAGGGAGGAGAAGGAGCACCCAGTTCTGTTTCCCAAAGCAGGGGAGAGTCAGAACACACAGCCATACAAAGTTCCTGTCCGTCCCTTTCCAAAACATTACTGCCTCCAAGGCCCTCCTCTAAACATTCTGGACCCACTAAAGCCTTTCATAATTTGATACCAGAATACTTTCCAAAAGAGGCAACGATATTTTCCCTTTTTCTTTTCCATAGGACGGGCCTCACATCCGCTTATCCAGAACAGTGCCTGGCACATAGCAGGCATCATAAATATTTGTTGAGTGAATTCATGGATAAATGACTGGCCGAGTGAGAGTGAATGAGGGCCTCTCTTATATCAAAACTCTTGGGATACCGACAGTGTTCCTGGGAAGATGGGAGAGCCAGGCCTGGCTCTGACCTTGCTGAAGCTCTGTGGGCTGGAATGAGGCACAGGGCCCAAGGACATCGTGCAGGAAGGAGCCTGTACAGATGTGGGGCCTGGAGCTGCCAGCTGTTGAGGACAATCAGAGAGGGGTAGAGCCTGGAAGGAGTAGGGGCTGGGAGGGCAGCTGCAGGGTTGGTCATGTGATCTGGTTAGAGCCAATCCGAGCCAATCCTGGGCCTTGGCTAGAGGTTCAGACAAGGGGCTCTTGCAGGGATCTGGAGGGGGCAGGGAGAATGTAAGTTTCTTGAGTGTGAAGTTAAGGACCATTGTGCCAGGATGGACAGAAGAGAGAGTCGTGGCCCCTGAATTTAGATAGGCCCAAATCTAGCTCATCACTGGTCTTACCTGGACATGAGCCCATCTATTCCTTTCCTTCGTTTAAGCCAGCTGGATGGGGGTTTTCTGCCGTCACCAAATGTCTTCTAAGATGGACACAGTGCCTCTTTGAGACCTGGTGCTCCTTTTCTTACAGTCAACATGCCCCGCTTTGCAAAGACACTATTTTGACAACTATTTTTGACCTAACTCAAATAAATTTGGTTGAATTCTCAAAAAATACATTTCAGTTCAGCCTCCCTCCCCATACACAACGTTAACTTACTCTTGAAGAATGCGGGTCTGGAAGAGACTTCCACTTCCCCTACCAATTTTCCCTCTTGGCCATTGGCCTCTGAATCATGTACGTTACATATAATTTCACACCCATCCAGCTTACACAGCAGTCTCCATGGGCTAATCTTCATGGGGTCGATTTTGATGACAAAAATGACAAATTGAAACCCTAAAATTTGTTTACGCCAAATGCATTACGGTGCTAGTTATCAAATCGGAACTATATTACCCCTTAAATTACATTGAAAACAAAATCAATAGTTTATTTAAACAGTCTGGAAGAGAAAAAGTGGAAAAAAATTGTCCCCAGGAATCTGGATTAGAAGTTTCCCTCAGAAGACAGCAGACACATACGCTGAATTCAGGGACACGTGTCGTCCCTTGGAGTAGTCAACTGACCTGCTCTTGAAGAAATGGTGGCTCGTTTCTTGGCTCCTTCTCACAAATAAGTCAATAGGTTTTTGCTATGTCTGACCTTCTATCTAATCAGTGATTAGGGCTCAAGTGCTGTTCACCCAGCATTTGCTCAGCGTGGATCGAGGTGTTATGTCTCCAGTAAACAAGACAAGACACTGAAGTCCCCATTTGGACTCCAGGAGCAAAGTCTGAGCTAATTCAAATGCTCCAACCTAAGCTACTTTTAATTACTAAAACAATTTTCCCTAGGTTTCCCATCCCAAGTCACTTAGCTCCTCTGCCTTTGTTGGAAAGGTCACTTGCCGGGGGATGGTCCTCAAAGCATTATTTCCAGCTGCACAGATTTCGAGAAGCCTGGTCTGCTGTTCTTTCCTGGAGGCTGTGTGCTCCCAGAGCTTTCCCCTAAATTCCTTTTCTGCTTAGAGAGCTAGAGTGAGTCTGTTGCCGGTGACCAAGAACACGCAGATGTGCGCTGACCTCCACTGTCGCTTCTGTGTCTGGACAGCTGGTGTCCACTGGGCGGCCACCCCTCAAGTGGGTGTGCCAGGGCCCTCCTGCTCACTTCCTGGGACAGCTGACAGGCTAGCTGGGCAGAGCATGCTCTTATTTATTCATTTTAAAGCAGCTTCATCCAGGTGCCCCCATCTCGTGCATACAATCTGATGCCCACCCCCGTGAAGCCATCGCTGCAGCCAGGGTAACAGATATCTCCACAGCCCCCAAAGTTTCCTGTGTCTCCTCCAATTTGGTGGTTAAGAACATGCAATAGGAGAGCTGCACTCTTAACAGAATTTTAAGTGCTTAACACAGCAGTGTGACTGTAGGCAGAAAACATACCATTTTTTGCTCCCAAATGTGAGACTTGGATTGTAAGTCAAGGGAAGAGTCTGCCTGTGAACATGTATCTACAAATACTGAATGTTGATGGGGATTAGGAGCAAGTCAGGATTTTCTTAGGAATTGCGGGGGAGGCAGGCGGGGGAGGGGCATCTGCTCCTGTACACCTGTGCTTTACTCTTCTGTTTTAGGGACCCAGATATTTTTGCCTGGCACACCACCAGGTAGAATAAGGCTATATTCCCATCCTGGCTGATAGATGTGGCCAAATCACTGAATTATAGAATATAAGCCTAAGGGGTTTGGATCATAATCCTAAATATCAGAATCCCAAAGGCTGAAATTCCGAAGATCAAAATCCTGCAAGAAGAATGCTGAAGAAGCAAAGACCCAAAAATGCTTTCGGGGGCATTTCTTGACCTTTGGCAAAGGGCGTATTCTCTGGGAGAGAGAACATGAGCACGTGCTCACTTGCTTCCTCCTGTACCTGGAGAGCTGCCATCTGTGCGGGCGCCCTGCCCTGTGCTTCCTGGGGCGTGAAGAAGGAGCCTCGAGACTCTTCTCCCAATCTGAGGTCACGTGTGCATGGAAATCCTCTCCGGAGCGGACGATCTCACAGACTCTCCCATCCTGCTGTCAGGAGGAATGGCAGGAAAACAAGGCTCACGAGACAGAATCAGACCAGGAACCATCTCTGTGACCACTAGGAGCACCCGCTGATGGAACAGCAGTTTTGGGGATTCCCATTTTTCAGCTTGTGATCGTGGGGACTTCAGACTTTGGGAATTTTGAGCTTTTATTACTTTGCTCTTTGGGATTATGATCCCAAATCCCTTAGGTTAATACTAACTAGAGCTTGGTGATCTACCGGGGAACCTGAGTGAGAAAGGTGCCTTTCCTGCTTGGAGCAAATACTAGGAATATTTGCCTGGGACTGAGAATATGAGTCCCAGGCCCTGAAAGTGGGTGTCCTATCTGGGTATATACCGGGGACCACATCCTTGTGACTCAGATTGTTTTTGGTTCTTCGATGTCACTGAAATTGAAGGAGATTCTCGTACAGATATCAGTGCATAGATGATCAGAGACCTCCCCACTGTGTTTGGCATCTAACTTGACAGGAGCCCAGACAACTGAGCTGCACACAACAGACCTACCCGACCACCCCCCGCCCCCGCCCCACAGCCATTGTTTGGTTACGTGAACAGGTCCCAGGGCTCCCACCGATAGGACAAAGTGGTGTGAATAGACTTGATGCTGAAACCTGGCTTTTTAAAATAATAGTTCTCAGTCATGAGCACATTGATGGAAAAAAGGCTCCCGATCATATTAAGAGAATCTATCCCAAAGAATTTTACCTTTTTGGGATTTATAAGTCTTTCTCATGAGCTATGACATGTTTATGTCGCTTTGATCAATTGTGTTCTGCTAACAACCATAACAACCATTTGATTAGAAATAGCTTGCTTTGAATTCCAAAGACGGTGCTCCAAGAAATTTTTCAAATTTGAATTTCAACATAGAAGCACATTTTTGTTGCAGTTTGTGATCCATGATGGAATGATTAATTTAAAACCTCCAAGAATAAGAATATGATACATTAAGGCCAAATTTCTGCCATGGGAGTAGAACCTCACAGACAAAAATAATTCAGAATTCCTAATAATTAAAGCGAAGTTTGTACATTCATTTTTAGAAATCCAGAGTGATGGGCATGAAACCACAATGGGTACTGAGCTTCAATGGGATGTACTTTGAAAGCTATACTACAGTTTTCTTTAAAAAAATCAATATTTGTAACATGTCAAAATCATACCCATCTATATTAATTTTATTTATCATTCTTTTAAATAGATTACTAAAATATAGCTTTTATGTATACTTATATATTAATATATAATGTTTATAATTATAAACATTAAATATGTTTTTACATCTAAGTATGTCTTTAAACCTATAATAAAAAATATAGATGAGAGCTTAAAAATGTGGGAATAGAAACAGAATTCTTCAAACTGGGGGAGATGCTAGAACATGAGTCTGTAGAATTGAACTGGGGTTGGACCCCGGTTTGCCCACTGCAGGCTGCAAAACAAGGAATGGAAAAAGCTAAAATCCATACAGGATGTCACAGGACAGCTGTCACAGGGCAGCATCCGGCATTCAAGGCAAGGTAATTACCTGCTGTCAGAGGAGGAAAGATTGCTGGGGACGGAGGTGATCACAATGGATGTCCCAGAGGGATGGAGATTAACCTCAGGCTTGAAGGAGAGAGGAACCGGATTGAAGTATGTGGAAAAAGTTGCCAGAGCAGCTGAGAAAGAATAATTGGCGTAGCGAGGCTGGAATGCTCTCATTCGAAGTCAGATCAAGCAGTGGCCACGCAATACCTTTCAAGCGGCACCATGCCCACAGCCCCATATCACAAGTCTGTGATCAGGGACGGTGTTTTCAGGCCCTCGTCTGAGACACTGCACTGCTCCTCCTTTGTCCCTGGGTGTTAGTCATGCAGACATTCCTTCGGGATTTCATTGCAGGCTGACCACGTGCTGACCATGCCAAGTCACCTTAATTGCCTGGACATTCTCATCGGCGTTGATCGGGGACTGTCACTCCTGTCGTCTGGTCTCCCCTTCTCGCTGGGCAGGAATGTGGACTCCCCTTTCCAAGCCTTGAAAGGGAGGCATGTTCTCTTTGCTCCCCTCTCCTTCATCCTCTAGTCTCAGGGTCCACCTCCCATGGCCAGACTGTCCCAGCCGGTCCACTGAGTGTCCGCCCTTCTCAGAACGTTGGCATTACCTGAGTTTTATACAATGGTTCTCATCAGAGTTGCTGTGTTCATGGGAACTGCCTGTTATTACCTTCTGAACACCCCCCAGCTTTCCAGCTCAGGGGCACCCACTGTGACGAGATTTGCGATTTCATTCTTCTCGGAAATTCTCCTTAAATGGGCAGTGTCTTAGACAGATAAAAATGCATTTCTGTCTCATGTCACTGTGGACAGTCCAGGGCTAACACAGTAGCTCCGGAGACATCAAGGGTCCTGTCCCCTCTGTCTTGTGTCTCTGCACACTCACAGCTCACTCACGGCCCCTGGCGTCTGCACGGGCCTGTGCCAGAGCAGACACCGGAGTCCGCATTCCAGCCAGCAGGAAGCAGGAAAGGAGCAATGGAGGAAAAGAAAGCACTCTCTCCTTGAGCTAGTTCTAGAATTTGAACACAGTACTCAGGTTTCAGCACCCCTCATAATCCTGCAAGACCCGACCCCTAACAGCGGAATCTCGAAAGACTAAATCCTGAAAGTCTGAAATCTGTGATTGTGCCTTTGGGGTTATGAACTCAGCCTCCTTTGTAAGATTCCAGACAGGTGATGTCTCCTGAGTAGACAGACTCCTACTCTCTGCCCTCCTCCTGCCAGCCGCTGACCAGTCAATAGGCTCCCTCTTGGTTTCCAGTTGGGTAAGGCCAATAGGGAGCAGGCAGCGGGGAGATGCCCCCACCTGCCAGTGGCCCAGGGTGGCTGCATCTTCTCCAGGAACCCACATTCCTCACGGTTGCCCATGTCTCCCGGTTCTGGAAATCTCTCTCTCTCCTTTCCCTTTCCCTCCTGCATTATCCTTTGTGGTTTTCTTTATCCCACGTACAAATTTATGAACATTTCCTCTATTAAATTCTCTTTGAATCACCCATCTTGAGTGCACTTTCTGTTTTAGGTCGGCATAAGTCTGATAAACTTATTTTTTATGCAGTGGAAGAAGGACATTGGTGAGGGAGGATGTGGCAAATAGAACTTATATCAGTTAAAGCTCTCAAAATTGCTTCTCTTATAACTTGTGCCTATGAACCCTTAGAAAGTCTTCCCAGGGTTCTGGCTACTCCAATTTGATGATGCTCCACTTGGTACCTGACCATCTCTCTGTTCCCTCCATTGTTTCAGGGGAAGGACACAGCTGGGATCCAAAAAGACAGAAAGCAAGCTGGCAAGGGCTTTTCCATGGACGCCAAATGATCCAGGGAGTCCTCTACAGCCACCTTCCATCCTTCCTGTTGCCCAGCAGCACCTCCCACTGCCCTCACCCGCGGGGAAGCTAATGTCCTCCCTGAGCTGATATATGTGGTAGGGGCTGGTTGCTAGAAGCCAGCACCCCATGATTGCCTGCTTGAATCTGGCATCAATCACCCTTGATGGGGAGCCTGCCTGGTTTATCCACCAGCCTCTCTGCAGCCTGATTTAGAATTTCCAGACAACCCATTGAGAGTTCTTTATTGCAACGGCAGGCAACTGATCTACAATAACATGTGGAAAGATAGGCATCCCCTGGCAACAGCAGCAGCTGCGATTTAAGCTGAAATGGAAGTTAAAATGTGTATGGATCCACCTGCTGGTGGCGGTGGGGATGATGATCTCCCACCTCCCATCCCCGAAAGGCTAGAAGCCCCCAGGTCAATTGTTTTGTTGTTCTTGTTGTCACTGAGCCTCAAGCTGCCGGCAGATGGCTGTGGGTGGGTGGGCGTTCTCCGCCACTGTCATTTCTTGTCCCCTCAGAAGGGTATTTCAGATTCGGTCATTCATTCATTCATTTACGAGCATCCATTGGGTCATCCAATGATTGTATTATTGTTCAAATAGTCATTCTCTGCCCTCACATGATGAAGGGTGAGTGTTTCCCTCCCCCCTTGTGGGTTTGGCCATGCGACTTGCGTTGGCCAGTTGAATATCAGTGGACACGATGAGCAAAATAGTTTTATGTGTCCTGTAGCTTGTCTTGACCTTGCTCCATGGATTAGTCATGAGAAGACAGTGCCCAGGCAGCCAATGCCCCCTCATCAGACCCAGGAGACACCCTCACGGACCAGATCTGCATCCAAGCTCCAGTCTGCACTAAACCTGGCAGAGCCCAATCCACGTCAGCCGAGCCAAGGTGGCTCCGAGGACCTGTGAGTGCAGGAATAAATGTTTCTTGTAAGCCAAGGTGTGGGGTTGGCAACAACTGACAAATGACTGAGTTTGCAAATTCTGCTCTGGTTGAACACAAAGCAAGAAGTTTTCTAAAAACTTCTCTGCATGGGAGAGGGAAATCAGGTTTATTTCTTCAGTCACTTATTTATTAATGCACTTGTTTATTCTACAAACGCTTTTTGATCACCCTAGGTATCAAGCCCTGTTCTAGAGAGACTCATTTATCTCTGTACATCTGGGCTGTCTCTTGAGCTTCACGAGAGAAATGAAGCTGTGCTGTGCACATTCTTAAAGTGCTTTGAAGGCAGGGTATAAATCCAGCCTTTTTCCCAGCCCATTTCTCCTGCTTTGCTTGGCTGCCTGACATCCTTGGAGGCCAGGCTGCAGGTGGGGTGAGTGGAAGGGAATGATCCCACTTGCTCTCCCCTTGCACTAAATCAGAAGCTTGGAAGGGGGTGGGGAGGGGAGAAGAGGGTGATGCTTAGCATCTCCCCTGGGGGGGCAGGTGTTTCAATGTCTTGCCTGGGTTAACTGGGCCACTTTGGAGTCAGCCTTGTTTCTGCTTTCAGATAAGGAAGCTGGGACTCAGAGAGGGCCAATAACTCACCCAATTATTGACACAGGGCAGGGGCAGTAAATGTTAATTACTGTTATGGCAAGCCCCCATGAATAGAGAAGAAAAAAGCCCTGACCTTAATGTTGAACCCTTGAACATGCGTACAAAAAAGAGTTGCCATCGCCACAATGACTGTTGTCCTTTGAACGGACTGTGTATGGGGCTGGCCCTTGACTGGGGCCTGAGGACTTGGGAGGGTTCCCACACCCTGACTGACAAGCGAGGTTCACGGTGCCTAAGCTGTTCATACAAAGCCATATGTTTATGTTAATGCCAGCTTTCCTTCTGGGAGTCTGGGATTTTTGGTGCATGCTAAGGAGGCGCAGCCACACGACTGGCCTCTGATAAAAATCCCAAGCCCTGAGTCACTAATGAGTTTCCCGGGTGGGCAACATTCCGCATGCGTTGTCTCAACTTGTTGCTGCAGGAATTAGTGAGTTTCTTGTTACTTTGATGGGAGAGACCCTTGGATGCTCACCGTTCCCCTTTGCCAATTTACTTGGTGTTTTTTCCCTGTAATAAACCATAACCACGAGCATGCTGGGTCCTCGGAGTCCTCCCAGGGAATTGACAGGCCGAGTATGGTGTTGGGAACACTCAGCACAGTGTCCCTTCCTTTTCTGTGTCTCTGTTTTCACTTTGGACCCTTTGTCTGCCTTACAATCCATTCTTGATTCTTAGGATCGTCTTAGGATCTATGGGATTTTGTTCTAATCTCCCCTTGGCTGAGAGCTTTGAAGGGCTTTCATCCTTCTTGGGATTCAGTAGCATTTATTATCAAAATCACCCATCTGGCACTGTGTCTTAAATGATCATCAGTTCCTTTCCTAAGAATGGTTCCATTTTGGGTTTTGGGATATGTATTAATGCATCACAGCCCTTCGCCTACAGGCTAAGATAAAGAGCTATAAAAAAAATGAACATTTTGATGTTGGTTTGCTTCGTCCTCAATGCTGTGTTCACACACACAAAAAAGACTTTTGAGGATAGAATCTTAATAGATACCAAATTATTACTTAACTTCAAAATATTTTGACAGTTCTTTACAGACACAGCGCTAGCAAAACATGTGTCTCAGATGTAGTGCCTACAACTAGAATTAACCCTAGGACTGTGAGTTCTAATTTTAAACGTGATTAGAATTTTATTCCCTCTAGCTTGATTGTTTTAGCTCTTTAATCCAGTTATTAAAAATCAACCAAGTGCTAACGGAGTGCCATTAACTAAGAATATTCTGGAAATTCACAATGAAGAAGACCCATTCTCTGCTTTGGTAAGATGTAGTTCTATGTGTGGTAGTTTTTGTAATAAGTATTTTTGTGCCCACCCAGTATTTAATCACCACACTCCCTCTATGCAATACCTTCTGGGGATACTCACCCCTTGCCCAGCTAGCCCATGACTCGCAGGGAAGCTGACCCCAAGCCAATGTCATCAGTGGGACCTGAACATTCTAAGCTACTTAGCAGAAACCTTTGAAACATGTGTGGTGCAAAACCAGACATAAGTCAATCAGTATCTAACATTTTCCCAGGCACAGTAGCCCAAGCAACACCGAGCTCTTATTTTCCTTGGAAACCTCCTTCTAGAAGTGATTTGAATCTTGCAACTGTTTACAACAGTTTGAACTGGATTTTCTGATAACTGCTATGTACTTATAATAAGTACTGTTTAGAAGTCTATTTTTTGTTCCTCCCTATGCTTAGTCCTAAGACAGCATCATGTAAGACTGAAACTGGGCACATTAGCTGGAGAAGCCCCCATTCCAGTGGCACAGGCAGCAAACATACACGTGATGTGACTTAAGGAATGTTGTGACAAGTATGTTGAACGAATGAATGAATCATTTAAAAAATTTGATGCCAGCAGCTCCTGATGCCAGGTAAGCTGAAGTAAACACCCTACCCTGTCTCTCCCAGTGAATAAATCTGTAAAACCTGAAAAGATTGCATGGAGCAACGAGCTGAGGACTCTGAAAAGGAAATGACTGTGGACAGGCAAGAAGAACAGAAATTGAAGACCCACCAAATGGGTGGTGAGTTTGCCATGACTGTGGTCATGTGATCAGATCTCCAAACTTCGAAGCGGGTGAAGACTTCCCGAGGAGAAGCCCAGAGAGGACTCTGGTCTTGTTCAGGGAACTGCTTCTAACACTCAGAGAAAGTGTGGAAATTCCCCATTATCCCTTTCTTTTCTATTCTCTTATACCCAAACTCTTAAGCCACCTTGTGGGATTGGCACACAGGATTTGAACAAGACTCCATGTCTCATAACATAATATACAAAATGTCCAGGATAAAATCTAAGATCACTCAATGTGTAAAAAATTAGGAAAATCTCAACATTCTTGGGAACAAATAATAGACAATGAAATAACACAGATGTTGACATTTTCTGACAAACACATTAAAGCTGCTAATAAAAAAATCCCTTCATAAACAGTTATGAACACCTGTGAAAGAAATGGAAAAATAGAATTCAGGCCAAGAATGGGGAAAATCTTTGTCACCTGATATTAGGAAAAGCTTACTAGACTTGATACCAAAAGCACTCCAGAAGAAAAAATTGACTTCATCACAATCAAAAATTTCTATTCTGTGAAAGATATGTTAAAAGAAGACAATGTTAAAAGACTCTTAAAGAAATTCAGTTTATCACTGGGAGAAAATTTTTTGACCATACACCCAGCAAAAAAATTATTCAAAATTCAATAGAGAAAACATAGGTAGCTGATTAAAGAATTTGCAAAGACTTGAACAGATTCCCCAGGAAAGAGGGTACGTGGGTGGGAAGTGTACACATGATGCAGCTTCTCCTGCGTGAGTCTTTAGGGCAAAACTAGCACCACATGTCAGGATGGGCTACATCAAACCCTGACAATGCCAAGTGCTAACGAGCTTGTAGAGCAACTAGAACTCATACAATGCTTTTGGGGATGCAAAATAGTACAGTCACTCTGGAAAACAGTTTTTCAGTTTCTCATAAAATTAAACACATACTCACCAATGACCCAGCCACCCCACTCCTGGGGGATTTATCCTAGGGGAAAGAATACTTACTTGTGTTCACACCAAAACCTGTTGGGTATATGTTTATAGCTGCTAATAAATCTCCATAATTGCGAAAACATGGAAATGACCCAATGTCCTCCTGCAGGCGAGTGGCTCAGCAGCCTGGGTGACAGCCATGTGAAGGATTCAAGGCAGCAGTGACAGGAGTGAGCTACTCACATTCCCCTTCTTTGAGCCTGGAAGGCATTATGTTGGATGAAGGAAAGCAGTCTCAAACTCACATACTGTATATTTCCATTTATGTGACTTTCTCAAAAACAAACCAACAAACCCAAAAGAATGATAGAGAACAGACAGATTGCCGGGGGTTTGGTGGGGGGGTGAGGGTGGGGACTCAAATGGAAAAGGGGGTTGGGTTGGGGTGGCAGGAGTAGAACTGTTCGCGTGCTGATTTTGGTGGGGACACACGACGTGTACACAGTATACATACTTGAAAACGCATACAACCGTGCAGCACACAAGGTCAAAACTGCCGTATGATAATTTTTTTAAAGTGTCAATTCACACAGACACAAAACTGATGTCTCTGGGTGCATTAGTTGAATTTCCCCTTATAAAAAAAAGCCTAAACTATCCAGAATCAGATCTCCACAGGGCAGTGCTGGGAAGAGACCCCTTAAAAGTGCCACCAAGCCCTATGCCTACCTATGAAGATACTCTTCAGGCAAAGTCCTGGTCTTAATGCCCAGAATTTTCTGAGCTCTGCCAGGCACCTGGAAATAATGTTAGAAATGAAAACTTTGAGCTTGAGCTTATTTCCAGAGATGTTTATAATTTTTTGTTTGGGGTTGAAACCTCATTCATTCCTAAATAAATTACTTGGGTGTGTTGATAAGAGGCTAAATCTTTGAGGGTTCGTATAAAGGTCTGTATTCAGAAAACCTGCCTTTTTCAGCACTGCACATTTTATGGGACATGGGAGGAGTGGAAGGAGGAGCTGGCATTCTGAATTTGCTGTCTTTTCTCTTCCTTTTTCATACGTACACAAAGCGCTGTAGATATCAGGCAACTAGAAGTTCAAGGTGGGAAGGGAGATAGGCTTTCCTAGGGATGATCACCTTACAAAGCATACACAAAGGTCCAACTTATTCCTGGAGCCCTGCCAAGGGAGACAGCAACAGAGCTGAGCTTTTGTTTGCATTTTCTGTGCCAGCATTCAGGATATATCAGCGGTAAGAGAGGGGGGACCTGTTGTCTGTGTTTTAGCATAGTTTTCAGGTAGCCAGGGACTCTGTTGAGATGACTGATGAGTGAGGATGGAAATATGATCTAGTGGGAGGGGACTATATATTTAAGGAACTGGGCTTCAAGCTGTAGTTTTAAGGTACCCTATAGGAACTACAGTTTGACTTTTCCACATATCCCCTCCACCCCTATGTTGACAGAAGGTGTGCGTGTTAGTAGGCTTTAACAATAAGTAAGAATCCAAATTCAACTGGATTGGAAGATAAGGGAAGATGGATCAAGATAACTGGCTTGCTTAACTGAAATTCTGTGGGAGGATTGCAGGCATAGTTGGATCTAGGTGGTTTTATCTGTCATGAGTTACTTATAAATGGCAGAAATCAATCTAACTTGTATATGTGTAAAGGACTTATTCAAGGCTAACATGTGGCTCACAGAATATCTGGAAAGAGCAAAGATTCAGGCTCAGTGGCTCTGAAACTAGGAGTGACTTCCAAATTGGAGGATCCCAGAACTTTATTAGAGCAAACACCATTGTCTCTGCTCATCACTGCAACTGAGAATAGCATCAGAACCTCTGGTATTGGTGCCACCAGGAAGCTGTATGTCCCTGAGTCCTCTCACCAGTGAGGATCTGAGTGGGTCTTATCCAGGTTGCCAGCATCCAGATGGCATGGTGCTCTGACTCACTGAGGTGACCTCACCTCCCTGAAACATAGCTGCAAGGGAGTCTGAAAACATGTTTCTGAGGTCTCATGTGGAGAACATGAGTCCCTAAGATGGGAAATTCTCTAAACATGAGGAAGGAAAGTAAAGGTACTTGGGGAATAACAAAAGAAGCTAACACATCTCTGTAATTTATTATGTACCTGGCCATTTTCTACATACTTCAGATGTATCATTAATTTAATCCTCACAACCTCCTGAGAGATAGGTATTCCTCAGATGAGGAATCTGAGATTGAGGTAAAGTGACTCATCCAAGTCTAGGGTTACCATCCATCCTGGCTTGCCTGTGACAATCTCCAAATAGAGATTATGAGCACCTCCAACAACTCTCAAAGTCTGATTCAGCCTATGAGTCCAATTGTCCTTCTACCAAGGCTTTTGGTAGAAGGTCAGACCACACAGTGGTGATGTTGCTGTCTCTCCTCTTGCTGCTCGCCCTACTTTTCTGGGTAAGTCAAGGGGTGAGCCTCACTGGATGCAAAGAGTGTCTGGTCATCTCTCCATGCCTTCTCAAATCTCCAGAGATATTCTAATCTCCTGACCTAATCAGGGACAATGTTGGGCCAGGAATCCAAGTCACTAACTGCATAGCCAATGCATCTTTTACCACTTTTGCACACACTCCTTTATCAGATTAGCTAAATTCTAAGAAAAAATATCTTCATTGTTGAGATAAAACAAGATGCAGGCATTTTGCTGGGAAGGAATACAGGAAACATCCATGGCTGGGGTGGGAAGTCCAGAAAAAGATCCCAGGAATCCTGGGAGGTGGCCATCAAAAGAGTGATGGGGACATGCTGAAGTTACAACCAATCCTCTCCATCCCATTTTGGCAGCAGGAGTTGCAAGGGATATCCATATCCTTCTAGATGCTTCTGTTTCAGTAGAAAGATGAACTGTGGGGACTTACGCCTGCTCCATTCGCCATCTGAACACCTCCAAGTCTTCTGTGGCTGGCACAATCTGGCTCCTATCACCATCCATCATAAGCTGGCAGTGGATGCAATACCTGGGGCCCATGGGCCCAGAGCTAACAGAGCCCATCTGTATGGGCTGCTTGGCACTGGGACACATGGGCCTGAGCAGACTGCTGATGGAAGAAGGACTGGGCTGGCAGCAATGCATGTTTTCCCTGATGTCTGACATTTCTCCGTCCAGGAGCTGCAGACAGCATGGAATGTACCTCTCCTGAGAGCTGGGAAAGCTGGCAGCCTCTGAGGCCTGTACCCTCACTGGACACATGGAAATGAGTCCCCAGGAAAAGCCTGGAGAAAAAGGTGGGCATTTATCAGAGCTCTCTTTACCTCTTCCTAAGGACAGGAGATGACATGTTTAGCCACTATTGAGAAACCTTCCATTCCATTGGGAGAAGCTTCCAGAAGCTGTGGTTTAGCCAGCTGTCCATGACCCAATGGCAATGCTTGATCAGTCACACTCCACCCTTCTCCCACCTTCTATGGCATCAGCAAAATCCACAGCTCTACCTCCATAATAGACTCTGCATTGTCCATTTCTCTCCATCCCTATCAAGCCCACGCTAGTCCAAACTACCCCCCATCTTTAACCTGGCCCACTCAGAATCCCTCCAACTTATCCCTTTCATTTCGCACCCCCCAACCCATCTTTCATACACTGGCAAGACACATCATTTGAAAATATGTATCAGACGGAACTACTCACCCTCTAATAGCCTCGAGGTGAGGGGGTGTTCTATCTAAAATAAAATTCCACCTCCTTCTTTGTCTTCAACACTCTGTGTTCTTGGCTCCCCATATGCTTCTAACACTCCAGTTGGATCAGTGTGGTGGTTCCTCAAACAATTAAAAACAGAATTACCCTATGATCCAACAGTTGCACTTCCAGGTACATACCTGAGAAATTGAAATCATCTACACCGACAGGGAAATGTACCCCCATCTTCATAGCAGCATTATTTCCAATAGTCCAAAGGTGGAAGCCACCATGTCACTCTCAGAAGAATGAGGGGCAGTGCTGGTCTCTGAGAATGTTTCAAGGCTTGTGCCAAGTGGCATGACCCAGCACGGTCAGAGGGCCAGGGCTGGGGCCTTCTAGGGCCTTCAACTGCTGGCGGTAGTGGGATGGGCAGCAGCTGTACCTTGACCACTTTAGCAGAAGACATCCCAAGTGGAGGCATGAGAGCTAGGGAGAACAGGGGAGAGGGTGCAAAGGGGCACCTTAACCTCTCCCTGTAGCTTCAAAGTGGGGGCAGATGCTGGGGTCCATTCTTCCTTGTCCTTTCACAAGGGCATTGATTTTATACCCGCTCCCCCCACCCCAAGGGGAGGAGGCAGCAGGGGTGGTGGGCCGGAAACCACGACTGTCTGGTCTCCTATCTGATGGTTTTCATTAGCTCCCCCATCTACCTCACCCCAATGCTACCCTCAGGACCCAGTGCCCCCACCTTGCACCTTGCACTCCACGTATATGCCAAGTTTGGTCTCCTGCAAACATGCACTATTCTATGCATGGAAACTTTCTCTCCCTTCGGGCTGTGATGTCCTGCTTCACAGGAAGAAAGCTGAGGCTCAGGGCAGGGCCCACACGTTGGCCACAGAGCCAGAGCCAGCACTCAGCCCCCCAGCGAGCCTGGGGCAGGGCCTCCAGAGGTCGACGGCTCAACCACGTGCACACTGGGGACCCAGCTCCTCTGAGCCTGCATTCAAGGACTCCCTCAAGCCCCTTCACCCACAGCTTGCCCTCACCATGCCTCCTGCCGTGACTCATTCCCCACCCAGACCCCGACCCCACCCCTGCACAGTCTGGTGAGATACCCCAGTAAGCGCCCCGGAAAGGTCAGCTGCTTTATTCTCGCTGTTACTGCCACCGTCGTCACCTGCCACAGGCTGCGTCTGCTCGCCTCTCAGGACCCCATCCCTCTGAGCAGCCCTTCCTGGGTGGGGGAGTCCCTGCTTCCCAAGACACCCTTGTCTAGTCTCCCAGGTACATGGTCCCCTCTGGAGTGCTCCAGGCTTTGGAGGGGGTGCTTATGAGGTTGGACTCTGGCCCCAGCTGACCTGGGCTCCTACCCTGGCTCTGAGTGACCTTGAGCAAGTGACTTGACCTCTCCGTGTGTGCCCGTGTTTCCTGGGGGACGGGTGATAGAAGTACCTGTTTCTGGGGTAGGTGTGGGCATCAGACGTATGAATGCTCTCCACAGAGCCTGGACCAGGAGCGTCCAGCACTGGGGCTTCGGCTCTTTTTCACCATCTGCCTTGCTCTCTGCATCATGAGCACCTGAAGGACATGGACCAGGCTCCGCTGGCCTTCATGTTCTTGGCACCAGCATGGTGCCCGGACCCGGCATCTGCCACTCTAGTGCTCCTAGCTTGCAGTCAGGTCTCTTGTGGGTTGCCTCCTTATTCCTCCAGCCCAAAGGCTCTGTTCCAGTCTGGAAAAGCAGAAGAGAGACCCACCCAGGCTTGGCCCTTTGGGCTGCCGGCCTGGAGAGCCCAAGAAGACCCAAGACCTGTCAGCTGGGCAGGGCTGACACTCCTCAGCAAGGGCTTTGGGGACCAGCCACCCTCAGCCGGGAGGCATTTAGCATCTTATTTGGAGGCGTCGTGAGGGAGGCGTCTTGAAGAGGCCCAGAGCATATGCTGACTCTCGGACAGGGCCAGATGGCAGGGAATTGGCTGGATTCCCTCTGTATTTGCGAGCCCGCTGACCTGTCCAGCAGCTCCAAAATGCAAAAGAGAGATGATAATGGTGCTTTGAAATGACTGGCACTGGGAAGCCGCAGGAGCCTGGCAAAGAAAGAGCCTGCTGTTGTCGCTGGTGCTTGGCTGCATTTAGGAGCCAGCAAAGGGGATGGAGTCCAGCCTGCCGGTGACTACCCTGCTCAGCTGCCTGGCTCAGGCCTTCCGACCACCCTACCGAGGATCTAGACTAGAGCACTGGTCAGGAGACAGGATCCTGGAGCCTGTGGCCTGGGCTCAACCCTGGCCTCAGCTGTGCAAAACAGCTTCATTAACTTAATTCTCTGTGCCTCAGTTTCCTTACCTGTGAAATGGGAATGCAGTTGCTGTAACAGCAGAAAAACACCGTTGTGTCAGTGTGACCACAGCTGACTCTTCTCTGGGACTTCGATGTGCCGTGACCTGCTCTCTCCGTGGATGGTGTCAGTCAGTCCTTACAAGCAGCCAGGAGGTAGGAGCTGTTCTTCCCTCTATTTTTAAAATACATGAAGTAAAGAGAGTTTGAACAATTCACTTGGGTCATCGAGCTAGAAATGGGCAGAACCAGAATTCAGACCAAGGCAGCGTGTCCCACAATCCATGAGTCACCTGCAGGCCGCGTAGCCTGTGTGACACCCAGAATCACAGACAGACTGCCCTGAAGCCAGCGCTTATGAACTACTCTGGAAGACCAAAGAAAGCCCTGCCTTCCATCAGTTAAAACAGCCAGACACGATGGCTTAGCTCTCTGCAGCCAGTCATTAGCTCTTTTCCCCTAGAAAAAGGCATGAGTTAGGCCAATAGGGCTGCAAATCATGCAAACCCCCTTGTGTGTCCACCAACGATGCTCCAAAGGCCATTACTGCTCACACAGGAGCTCTGGCAGCTGTGGTTTGGTTAGTCCTGTGGCCCGAGGACACCATTAAGGAGCCATTTTCTGTTCTGTGATCTTTGGAGCATCAACTTTGTCCAGAGGCCAATTCCCATCTTGAGACAAGATGGCTGCCCACTGTTCCCAGCAGTTTCAGATGTGAACCACGTCTAACAGAGGAGAAGGGTTGCGTTTGTTCTTGCATGTTTTCTTAGGAATCTGAAAACATTCTCTAGAATCTTCTAGAAGACACTGTATCTGGTGTCATTGGCCAGTGCTGGGTCACATGCTCTTTTTTCGGCCAATCAGAGGCAGGGGTTCATGTGGAGTTGACTGGATAGTGGAGACCCCTGCCTAGCCTCCTTCCTGTGTCTCTACTTCCTTCAGTTGCTGCTTCTGCCATTCCTCCTGCAGAGGCCCCCGCCCCTTCCTCAATATCATTTTGGCAGCTGTTTGTATCGAGTAACAGGAAACCCAAGGAAGAGACTTAACGGAGATGTTTGTTTTTTTCTCACATCAGAAGCCCTGAGGCAGGTAGTGTTGAGCCTGTGCTGTATCAGTGATATTCAGGCATCAGGCTCTTTCTGTCTCTCCACTCTGCATCCTCAGTGTTCTGGTTTTCATCTACAGACTCAAACTCTTCTGGCTTTAAAATGGCGGCTTCACTTCCAGGCAGGAAGGAGAGAGAAGGAAGTCTGGTGGTTTTGACGTCTCAGAAATGCCCTGAAGAAATCCACATGGATCTCCTTGGCTTGCATGGTTCATGTGGCCACTGTTAGCTGCAAGGGAGTCTGGGATCTTGCAACCTTGAAGGAAGCCTGGGAGGAGGTGAGACTGGCAGGGCAGCTAGTCATGTCTGCTACACTCTTCCTTAGAGCTCAGCTCACCCTGCACACCACTGCAAATCCCTTCCTTCTTCCCTAAGTGAATGGACTCCCCCCACCCCCTTCTGAGAAACCAAAGTGAAAAAGAAAAAAGGGGAAAAGGCGCTGATGGAACACCTTGTGTGTCATCTCCTACATTCTTCAAAACCTTCTCAGGTGGTGTTCACGACATATTTGTTGATTAGGGCAACTGAGGCTCAGAGAGCAGTCATGATTTGCCCAGGGTCCCAGATAAATTTGGGGCTTAGCAGGAATGTGAACTGGGCCTGTCTCCCCCAAAAATGCAAGCTGTCCTATTCCACCAGTTCCCATAGAGCCCCAGTGAGCTTGTCTGCTCCGGGGCAGAGCACTGATATTTGGCTCCATCTCTCCCAATGATACTACACATTCCTTCAGTCCCGAGTGTTACCACACATGGGGGAGAGCACTCCCATCAACACCTGCCTCCTGGCTGCAGGGAGAGGGGACCATGTGGGCTGGAGTTGGTGCCCGAGCCCAATCAGCAGCCTCTGACTAGAAGCCTGAGAACATCACTTCTGACTGTGGTGAGAACATTAAACTTGCAAGTAGGTACTGTGCTCCCACAGATGCAAATGCCAACCCTGCATATTTTTCTCCTCCTTCTCTCTCCCCTGAGTTCTGCTGGGGGCTGGTTCATGGGAAGTTGGTTAATTGGAACTGTCCCTGCTGCTCCTGTGAGAAATGGGACATTCTACACCATGTCCCCTGGAGAAAACCTCCCATCTGCTCACGCCATGAGGATAATTATGTGTATAAATGACCCTTCCTCTCATCCTCCCCTAGCCTGGATTCGAGGGGGGTGTTGCTGAAGGGAGAGTGCTCATGATGACAGTCAGAGTGACCTTTGAGATGAGGGAGTGTGTCTGAATCGGCTCCCAGATCAGCCATCTGCCCTGACCACCACGGCAGGATCGATTTCTGTTCTAGGGATGGAAACAGACATTTATTTTAAAATATTTTCTGGAATGAATCTGGGATTTGGGAAGGGTGCATCTACAATTATTATTTTTGAACTTGATATGACTCCAAGCCACAGAGAAAGTCATTGACAGTTACTGGGTTTACTTTTGTTTCTTGTTACCATGAGGACAGACGCCAGGCTGAGTCGTGTAGGGAATGCACTAGGTGCTTTCATAACAGTAATACCTTCAGCCTCTCTGAATACCCCTAATGTGAAACATATCACATGGGATTTCTTCTACCTGGAAATGCCCCTGAGCCTTGGAGTGAGGACTTAGGGGACAAGACCACTCACCAATCTTGATGTCTGGGCCAGTTCATGTCCTCTTCAAGGGTCTCGGTGTTCCTGCTTGTGGAATGGGAGGGCAGATTTAGTTTCAGTTACCTCTGTGGTAAGCAGAATGATGGCCCCCTAAAATGTTTTTGACCTTAAAATAGGGAGAGTATCCTGGGTTATCTGGGTGGCAGTGTTGATAAAAACTCAGCCTGATGTTGCTGATTTTGAAGATGGAAGAAGGGGCCACAAGCCAAGGAATGTGGGTGGCCTCATTCTGGAAGTTGGAAAAGATAAGGAAACAGTCTCAGAATGGTCCTGCCAATAGTTTAATTTTAGACCTTGAAGACAGATCCTTTTTGGACTTGTGATCTCCAGAATTATAAGAGGATACTATTTATATCACTAAATTTGTTGTCATTTGTTACAGCAGTTATATGAAGCTAATACAACCTTTAAGCTCCTCTAGTCCTGGGATCTGCTGATTGATCTCCTCCCACCTGAATCCAAAGATTCTCATATCCCTACATTGATTTTCTCTTTGGATGTCTATAATTCACTGATCCTTCCTCTCACCCATTCACCCACCCATCAATCTATCCATCTGTCCACTCACCCACCCATCTTCTTACCCTACCACCTACTACCTACTCATCTACCTACCCATCCACCCAATGAAACATTCATTGCCATCATGTTCCACTGCCTCTCACTATGGGCTTGATACAGTAAGTCATCACTCCTTCCATTACTTCTAAGAGCCCACGGGATCGACTCCTACCTCTGGACTATGTAACATTCTCACATTTCCTCTGTCTTCATCTTTGCTACCCACCTCCCTGATTTATTTAACTTGAGACACACTGGCTTCTTTGATGATGATCCCCAAACATTATGAGCCATACATCTGGTTCAGGGTCTCTTATCTACATAAATCACCCCCTTTCCTCCTGTAATATTTTGCTCAAATTTCTACATCTCAGGGAAGTCTTCCTAGTCATAATGTTTAAAATTTCAAATTGCTTCTCCCCAAACATATCGCCTTCCTTTCTTTTGTTGTTATTCATAAATCCGAATACCATCTGACATATTGCACATGCTATTTAATTATCTTGTTTATTTCCTTTTCACTGGGATGCAAGCTTTAGAGGGTTAGGATTTTTGCCTTTTTCTTAAACTACCATGTCCCTGGAACTAGCAACAGTGTCTGTCATATAGCAGGCATCCAATGAATGAATAAATGAATCCAGGCAAGAAATAGTATCTTGGCATAAGTTTGTGGAATTGAGAAATGAAATTGATTTGAGACATACTGAAAGAAAAAATTTTTCATTTGCATTTCACATTAAGCCAAGTTTTCCTTTGTGCTCTCTATATTTATTGTCATATTTACGCTTCCTCCAATATTATACGAACATTCATTATTTTTTCCCAGTGTTTTGATGTTTCTATATTTAATTTACCAGTGCATCTAAAATTTATTTTGATGTATACCATGAGATATGGATCAGATTTAATATTTTCATCTAGATTATTAGGCATTTTCAAAATGATGTGAACAGCATTTATTGAATAATCTATCTTTCTGTAAATAATGGAAATGCAAGATTTATCTATTCTAATGGTTCTGATATTGTAAAGTCATCTCTCTCGGAGTCTTTTCCAAACTTTCTACTGAGTTTTGTTGCTCCATTCTCCATCAGTTGAGGCTTCAGTTAGCTTTCTATTGTGAGAATGCCTGACAGTTAACTCCATAATTTCTGTCTTTAATTTAAAAAATTATGACTTAATTTTCCAAATTTACTATAGACCATTTTTCCCATGATAATTTCCTGGAATTTCACTTAACATAGATTGAAAGAGAGGAAATAGCTTTCTAGTCAATATTAACTGTCTATCCAGGATTATGCTGTGTATCCTATTATTTGTTTTTTTTCCCCCATAGTTCTATTCATGGGATCCCCAAGTCTTGTTATAATAATCTAAGTGCTTTATGTTATTACTATTGGAAACTGGATTTATTTCTCTTTGGGGTTTTGTGCTTATTCTTCACATAAGGGATACCTTGATTTGTGCATCTGGCTTTTGGTCTGCTGAAGTTTTTCTTTATTCCTGTATCAACACAAAAAAGAGTAGAGCTAGTTCTCCTAGGTTTCCTTTCTTCTCAACCAAATTCCATGTTTTTCTTACTTGTTTTTTTCTCTTTATGGAAATGTTATAATTGATTTATTTAGCTCCTTAAATATATGCTGATTTTGTTGATCATTGGATTTCTGGACACAATTATAAGCCCTGGAAGTTCTAGCTGATTCTCTTGGATTTTCCAGGTGATGATCCACTGATACACTTTGTTTAAATCCATGTACCCCTTACTGTCTGTCAAAGTATGTGGTCATTAAACACCTGCTTCCCGTTGTCCACTTTCTCCATCATAGGGAGGTTTCTGGTCCAGGGAAATGGAGTGTTGAAGATGGTGTGACAGAGGGAACAGGCCTGGGAAGCACTAGAGCAGAAGCTGCTATACGTGTCAGAAATCCTAATAGAAGTCAGCGTGAAACTAAGATTCTTTTCTCCAAGATGCAGATTTTCATAAAACACATACCTGCACCTTGCTTTTATACAAATTAGGTGTGGCAGGTACCGAAGTAAATGTAAAAGAATTAGTAATTGACAATCAATTCCCTTAAATTATTTAAATGTCTTAGCCCCTTATTCCAGAACTTGACATTTTCAAGGAGACAAGATTATTCAATTTGACACATGGATTGAGCTAAAGGAACACCTTGTTTGGCTTGAACTGAAGATGAGAGAAAGCCGATGTATGTGTAGTTGGGTGGGTATGGGGGGTCTTGATGCCACAGTTGCCAGGGTGATACTGATCTGACCAATTAGGTTGCTCGGCACCCCTACCTATAAGTCACCTCTAATTGTTTCTTTTCTTTCATGTGCCACATCACCCAGTCTTCAGGAAGGGCAGTGGGCTCTGTCTTTAGAATACATCCAAGTCCAGCCACTTCTTCTTGTTCTCCCTGGCACAGGCACCATCATCTTTCCCCTGGTCTTTACAGTGGCCTCCTCACTGGCCTCTCCTCCTGCCATCACCCTCTATCCTGACCCTCTCTCCTCATCAGAGAGTTTACGTGATGTGTTTACACACAGATCAACTCTTGTGATTCCTCTCACCCCCCCCATGGACTTCCCATGTCGTTTGGAATGAAAAGAGGGAAGAAAGTGGTGGGACTCTGGCACCAGCTTCATTTCTGGAAAATTCAATTCTAGAAAATTTGTTTCTAGAAAAATTGGCAACACTCTCCTGTTTAGCATTCCATGGGACCCCCAAGCTCTCCTGTACTCCCTCCCTGATTTCCCCCTTGGAATCCAGATGTTCTTCCTGATCCACCCTCCTGGGGCTCTGACCAGTGTGTCTACTCCCCTTAAGCCTCAGCCCCCCTCCTTATAGGCTGTCCCACTCATATACGGGGTCCCCAAAGATTGTGGCAACAGCTACATTGGAAGCATTGAAAAGTGAAAAAAAAAAAAAATTCAAAATGGAACCAATGCACCAGGAGAATAGAAAGACATTCTCTTGAGGAATTTTGTGGTGACTCTATTGACACAAGGGATGAAAATTTATTTTCCAGCATTGGAAGTTCAGGAAGGGAAACAGGCTGTGAGCTCACACGTCCTACACATTCCCCAGGTGGGAAAGAATTGACATCCGTGTTCACCCAGAATCCTCCAAATAGACATGAGGCAGCTCTTTCAATCATCATTTTATGGTTTCCTTTCCCACGGTACCATTTCTCAACCCTAGGCCAGTGGCTCCCAGCACCTCCCCTTCAAGTTCTAGGCTCTGTCCCAAGTCTCAGACCTCACTATTCACTGTCAAGTTAATCCTAGAAGATTCAAACACAAGTAGCATCTTCCTTATCCACCCCCCTCCCCAGTACAGCTTCTCCTCCAGACAACCTTATTTCTGTTCAGGCCCCTCATCCAGTCAGCCACGCAAGTTCAAAGACATTCATGTGGCCTTTGGCTCCCTGAGTGTTGGTTAAGATGCTTTGGGCCACAGGTAACAGCAACTCCAACAATGTTTTGGGGTTTGAGAGGAAAAAGCAAGTGTCTTTAGCAAAAGACTGGGAAAGGCTTTGCACATTCCACTTCTGCCTAAAACCAGAAAAACAAGGCAGTTCAAGGGAACAGTCTGTTTCCATCTGTCCTGTTCATTAGGAGTAGAACCTTCCCAGTGGCCCCATCACACAGCCCCTCAGGTCTCCTTGGCCAGAATGAGGTCAGAGGGTAACCCACACCGCAAGGGGAGTTGGGAACGTATCTGGCAATATGCCTGGGAGAGCAAGATTGGTTTTGACCCATTAAGATTTATTTCCATTTTGCCTAGAAAAGCAATCAGGGTTTCCTTAGTCAGAAGAGTGATCATGGCTGTTGGGGAAGCAGGTGTCAGTGCCAGACACACGATCTTCTTGCACCCCCCACCCCCGCCACCCACATACTAGTCAGAGTGCTGTCTTATCATTTCCTCTCCTTAAACACCTTGATCATTTTTGCTTCATTCCTCTTGTCACACCTTTATCACACTGCCCTGCCTCTCACCTCTATCCCACACCTACCTTTCTCACATCTGAAATTCAAGCCGAACTAGGTAAACCTTTGCTCTAAACATTTGTTGAATTGAATAATCTTCCTAAAAATGTCAAGTTCTAGAATAAGGGGCTAAGACATTTAAATAATTTAAGGGGAAAAACTGTCACTAACCAGTTCTTTCACATTTACTTTGCCACACCTACATTTGCAAAATATCAAGAGGCAGGTATGTGTTTTATGAAAATTTGCTTTCGACAATAAGGATCCTATTTTCCTATTGATTTCTGACAAGTAAAACTTATCTTCTGCTCTAGGGCTTCCCAGCCCTGTCCTCATCCATGTCCTACAATCTTTAAGCCCACATTTCCCTGTACCGAAAAATGGGTAGCATCTTGGTCCCAGGTTAGTTAGAGTCTAGGCCCTGCGGCCTAGCTTGGGGGCCTGCTCATAACCAGGTGTCTGTTTTGAGCTGGATTTCTTTGCAAGACGCTGCCTGCATCTTTCAATGGGCCCCAATCTCGGCTTCTGGGAATCAGCCAGCCGCACTAGCAGTGAGTTATGATGTCAGTATTCCAGAATTTCTAACAAAATTCTCCTGAGCAAAAGCTGCTGTTACTTCACCTCCCCCCAGTCACATTTCTAGTTGATGAGTGAGCCAAGGAACAGAAAATCCTATGGTTTGGAGGGAACAAGGAAGAGTGAAATTATTTCAGCTTTAGGAAATCACTGTGCCCCACTTATTTTATTTAAGAAAAAGGGATTTCATTTTCCATTTATTTCCTTCTCTAAATCTAGATTCAGAGCCAAAAAAAAAAAAGAATAGCAGATTTGGATCAACAGCCCTTCCTTCTGCTCCCCCACGGGCTCCTTATTTGTCCCAAGATAGAAAATCCAGCCACGGTCTTTAGGAACCGTGCTCTTCGCTGGCCAGGACGGGTTTCAAATCCCATCTAATTGACTTGAAATAAATGTGCACTCGCTGATGAAAGTCAATGCCTCCAGGCTGCAAGAGGCAACCCCAAGTGGAGACTGCTTAGCTGAGTCCAGCACCCCCCCGTGACCCTTCCCAGCACATGTACAAGGGCCTCCCTCTAGCCGGGGTGCCCTGGACAGTCGATCCTGGGGACAGTCGCTTGGCACAATCACTCTGCTCGATATTGATGCCTTTTGTGGGGCTCCTTGGCCTAATGAAAAGTCACGCTGTGCATGATTTTAATTAGGATTTGCATCAGGCCGGGCAAGGCTTTCAAAGAGAGAGGAAACCACAAGCTGAGCATTCAGTGGGTGGGGGCCGCAGGGAGGGAGGACAGTTTATTTATAACCCTTCCTGCCACGTGTGCGCTGTGGAGGCCAACAGACTTGTGTTCCCATCCCGAAGGGCAGAGGAGCTGGAATGCAGGACTCTAGTTTGGCCTGGTTGATTCCAGTTTTCATAGGCTGGGGTGTCGGAATTTTCCTGCCTTGGAGGTGAAGCTTACATACTCCATTTCATTAAAGATGACACGAGTCAGGGTCTCTGGCTCGAGCCCAGCACTGGCCTTGCAAGTGCGGCCTCTGGACTCACTGGCTGCGGCCAGCACTGCGAGGCAGTCAGTGCTGCTGCCCCACTAGCTCTGATGCCCTGTGCCAAACGAGTTATCACATTCAAGTTCTTCACTCGGCGCCTGACACCTAGTGATAGTCACTATTAGGAGAAAGATCATTTTGCCTGTATCCTTTCTATGGTTTCAGTTTTTGTGAGCTCAGAGACTGGGTTGAATTCATTTTTGTATTCTAAGAGCCTCAAAGATTGTTGGCCCCTGTGGGTCACTGGATGAAATGTTGGTTGATTTCCTCATGAGGAACTGGGATAAGCAAACAGAGCCCACTCTTGGTGGGAAGATACTTGCATCCCTGGGAATGTGTTTGGCTGCAATTACAGAACTGCTACTAGCTCTATCTTAGATATTGTATGAACCAGACCTCTGGATCCCCAAGATCTCAGGGCTGGTGTGGCAGCAATGTGATGCTTCCATAGATACAGCCTCTTTCCGCATTGCTGTTCTGCCTTCCTTATCCTATTAGCTCTTCATCCAGCCACATGCCTGCATCCTCATGGTCACAAGGTAGCTGCCAAGATCCTGCTCTCTCAAAGAAGGGAGAAAGAATCAGGGCAAAGAGTTTTATCATGAGACTTCCTTCCTTCCTTTCCCTATTTATTTCTTCACTGTGAGCAACCCCTAACACACTTCTTATAGCTAATTAACCAGAACTGGCTCCCTTGCCAATTCCCAAACCAATCACTGGCACCAGGGGAAGGAAGTATGATGGTTATACCCCAGATTAATCCTCTGGCACTGAAGGCGATCTAGCTTCCCTGAGATCTTGCGATCACTAACTTTTATCTCAATGCAAAATCAAGGATCTGTTTGCAGAGAATAAGGGGAGGAGACAACCAAGTGTCTGCTGTTGCTGTCATTGTTGTAATTGTCACTAACTTGTGCTAGCCCTGCGGTGTACCTCTCCCGTGGTGAACTGGATAATCGGTACTAGGAGCTACAGAAGATAGGGTATAGTCTGGCCCTCCCACAAGCTGTGACTAAGACCACGGCAAAGCTATAAAGAGCCCGTATGGAGAAAGCAGGCAGATGGCAGGTGGAGCAGAGGTGCACTACTGTAGGAGCTTTTGGAAATGTGAGGGCATCATTTGCATTTTGACACCAACTGGAGGGCACTGCAGGCATTCAGTAGGCAGAGGACAAGGACACTAAATGCCTTGGGATGCTCTTCACGGCCCTACACAGTGAACATCACCCCCAGTGCCAAAAGCACCCAGGGGTGTGCTCCATGACGCCTTTCAATTCAAGAAGACACTGCCTTTCCTGCTTCTCCTGTGGTCTCCACCTCTCACTGGCCATCCCCCAGGAGCTTGTCTTGCTGAGCAAACTTGGCCCAGTTGAGACATCATGGTTATGCCTGGAACTCGCTGAACTTCCAGAGCTGGCTGTTGGGTCCATCTACATCACTTACACTGGGACCAAGGGCAGCTGTGGGCCTCCCTGCAGAAGGCCATGCATGACGTGCCAGCACGTGACTGCTTTCTCTGCTGCAGTTTCATCTCCCAGCACAGCAGATGTCCCCCCGGATCCCAGCACATGCCTGGAAGATTTAAAGGCTCTAGCATGGGGTTTCTGAGCGAGGGCTCGTAATTCAGGTCTAAGGGGTGGGAATTAAGGCCCAGCCTGTGCATGAGCCCAGACCTTGATGTCATGGACTGTAACTACCGGGCAGGGCACAGACTCCAATTTGGACTCATTGCATGAAATTTCTGTCTCCAGGAGCATTCGAGGCACTGGGTACAGTGTTACCTATGCCATTACTCTGAGGGGTGATAACAGAAAAGCTGACCATTTATTAATGCCAAAGCAGGCTTTAAACATACCTTCACCGTCATATTTAAATCAGTAAAAATGAAGTTTGCGGGCCTCCCTGGTGGCGCAGCGGTTGAGCGCTGGGTTGCGAAGCTGCCCGCGGCCTCTGCAGTGCCGGTTCGATCCCCGGCTGCTCCCCGGCCACCGGAGGAGGGTCCCGCATGGCGCACAGACCTCTCCTGCCGCCCGCAGCTCCCCTCAGCAGTGTACTTCGGTCCCTCTGCCTGCTCTGCTCCCCGCTCTGGCTCTGGTGAATTCTCTCACCCTCCCGCGCTTCTGACTGTACCCAGTGCTTGTATAAATAAATAAATCTTAAAAAAAAAAAATTAAAAAAAAAATTATTGCTAAAAAAAAAAAAGAAATAAGGACCATTAAAAAAAAAAAAATGAAGTTTGCTGTTTCCCAGTGTCTGGAACATTTGCAAGGGGCCACCGTCCCCTGGTCGTGAACTCGCAGAATGTCTCTCCAGGGTTAAGTGACCGGCGATGGCTCCACATATTCAGCAAGAACTGAAAGCTCTTGCCCGGCTGTGCCAGGAGATTGGGGTAAAGCGAAAGGAGGAAACACCTTTCCTGTGGCAAAGCTGAGAGAAGTATTAGTTCTTTCACCTGTGTGCTCACACCTTTGATTAAATAAATAGGGGGGAAAAGTCAGATTGGGGCTTTCCGTGAGGTGGGTCTGCGCGCCAACCTGGACCGGCCTGGGTGAGGCTGGGGGTGGGCAGGAACTCTGACCCAGCTCTCCCCCCCTCCTGACACCCCTCCCACCTCCAGTCTATTGCTGCCTCTCAGCTGGAGCATAAAGCAAGAGAAGCGATTTAAACCTAATCACCTGGGTCATTTTCTCAAAAATTGCTTTCTTTTTCACCATTTTTCATGAGAAACAAAAAAGAACATGAGCGGCAGCCAAATTGCTGTCCCCGAGGCTCTGGTGCTCCGGAGGGGGCTGGCCTGAGGGGCAAATGCCTTTGGAGCATTTTCCATCCATCTGCAGAGACAGGACCTCAATGCCGCTTAGTGAAATGAAATGGCGACATAGGGAGAGGCACATAATCGCCGTGAAATGCTCCAACACAAACCAGAGACCTGAGAGCTTGGTGGCTCACTGGCAGAGAGCTCCAGAAGGCACCTCTGTTAACCCCCTGTGGTTCAAAGTCTTTTAAAGTGTTTCTAGCCTGATTCTCAGACCCAGAAGTCAACGCGGAGGTCCAGCGTTTGAGCCTGACTTTGGTCCACACTTGCTGTGCGGCCAAGGAAAATCACTCACCCTCTCTGGGCTTCATTTTTGCCTCTGCTTAGTGAGGCAGAATGATTTCTACTCTGAATGCTCAGAGGCAATAGGAAAAGCTATTAGCGATCTCCCCAAATTGTGACTGGTGTTGTTACGTGCTACTTAAAACATTTTCTTGGGCTTTCTGTTGCAAACTCCTTACAACAGCTCTGGAAGGTGAAGGCTGAGCTGCTGGAATCACTGCCTTGTTCCAGGTGGTGTGTAGAGAGAAGTAAGGATGCACGTGAGGGTGATACCCACACAATCTAGGGTGGTGACTCTGTCTTCAGGGAGCAGGGCACACGCCTGGGGGTAGGGCGAGAACACAGAGGACTTCAACTCTTTCCTGCTGTCCCAGAGGCAGAGATGGGGACATTCATCACAGTCCTTTTCCTGCCTATGTGTGTCCACACCAGAGCTTCTTAACCTCAGCACTGCTGACACTGGGCTGGATAATTCCATGTTGTAGGTGTCCGCCCTGTGCACTCGAGGGTGCTTAGCAGCATTCGTGGCCTCAGCCTACCAGGTGCCAGTATCTCCCACCTGTCTCCAGATGTGACCACCAAAAGTATGGATGTTGCCGCCCTGTGCACTCGAGGGTGCTTAGCAGCATTCGTGGCCTCAGCCTACCAGGTGCCAGTATCTCCCACCTGTCTCCAGATGTGACCACCAAAAGTATGTCTCCAGATGTTGCCAATTGCCCCTAGTGGAGTGTAGAGAAGGGAGGACCTACATCTCAGAAACAGCAGGCAATGCCCCTGAAGTCGCACAGGGGGTAAATGAGACAGCGTCCAGGCCTGGTGGCCTCGGTCCCACTCAGCGCTCTTTAAAATGGATCAGTGTCCCTGAGAGCAGGTGTTCTTACTGTTAGGACTGTGGTTAAGCTATAAATATCCCTACACACCCTGCAAGACAAGAGCACGTGGCAGGATTACCTTCTGTTTTACAGCGCATGTCATGGTGAATATAATGGTGATAATTCAACGTGGACTATTTAAAAGCATGTAAACAACCAAGCCGACCGTATTCCCGCACAGGCTGCTTCTTTTGGAGGTGGGGTGCTGGGGGCGGGGGCAGGTAGAAAAGGCAAAGGGACCTTCCTTCATGGTCTGCACCATTCGGGACGGGCTCAGGCTGAGTGGGATTCCTGGGTTTATATGTACTCCGTGATTCCTGCACGTGACGGTCACTTTGTTCAGTCATTTTAGAAACTGAGCCAAGCCCAGAACTGGAGGCACCCCCACTGTTTCCCAAAGAGGAGCAGAGGCCACCCCCAGGGCTCACAGCAGAGCTGGGAGAGACCCATTCTGGTTCGCAGGGAATGAAGACCCTGGAAAGGGGAACTGACTGCCCTCAGAAAGGAATTCACCTTCCCAGAAGCCGTGGGTGGTGTCCCGGGCCCCCGGGAGACCTTGTGGCTGGAAGGTTTTGTGACGAGGGCAGGCAGCAGGTTCTGGTGCAGAGCTCTGTGCTGGGAAGTGGCAGACTCTCAGAACTCCGACGCCCCTTCCAGCTCAAAGCTTTTCAGAAACTCACTAATGTGGAAAAAATACTCCTAGTCCACCTTTCAGTGGACCTCTGATTAGTGTTTTAAAGTGATGTTACTAACTACATCGCAGGTATGAGCTGGAGGAAAACACAGCAGTAGCCACACTAGATTGCATTTAACTCACCGTCACGTTCAACTTCGTTCGTGGAGGGAGAGGACTGGACAGAGGTGGGCATCCAGCCAGCCAGCCTTGGGGCTCACAGAGTGGTGCCCTGGGCACTGAGTGCTGTGATGTCTGAGCAGTCCAGGAAAAGTCAGAAAACCTACAGAAAGAATGTATGAGAACAATTTGAAAGGTTCCCTGAGCATGAAACAAAGAGGGAAATCACTCCTCATTCACGCAGCCTCTGCAAATTCTTTTGGGTCCTTGAGGAGTCGAGGTGTTGTTGACCTAAGAGCGTTGGTCTAACATTGGTAAAGAGGACACAGGTAAGAGCCAGGAGGCCTGGGAGCTAGTGGCAGTCACATCATGTACCAGCTGTGCAATCTTTAGTAGGTTGCTTAACCTCTCTGTTCCTTAATTTCTTGTCTGTAAAATGGCACCATCATGAGGATATATATTAAGTTCAACCATATGAAATTGCTGTCCTCGCTAGGAAATCATCAGCTATTGGAGATTACTTTTGATTTAACCTAATATTCCATAAGGATGTGTTAGGGATTGTGGTACTAATGCCGGCCTCTGAGTAAGTCCTAGATGGTTAGCCTCACTGTGTAGATTTAAGGAAATGTGTAACAGTTTTTCTATATGTGGCAGCTGCCCACTAGTAACTTTCAAACAATAGCATCATCTGTTTCTTAACCATGAGCAGGTTCAGAAATAAAATCAGTGTAGCAGACTGGGATGGGGTGTGGACAAAGGGCAGGAATGAAAGACACAGCTTGTGCATCTCTGTGCGCCTGTCTACACCAGGCCAGAGTGGAAACATGGAGGTGAAGAGAGTTTTAAAGTCACTGCATTAAACCACGTAGACTGGACTTCATGAGAGCAGAGAGAGAGTGCTTTGGACTGAGGCATTCAGGGGCCTATGGTTCTGGATGAGTTAATGGTCCTCTCTGGACCTCAGCTTCCTCATCTGGATCCTCATGCCTGACTCTTAGGGCTGTGCTGAGACAAGAGAAGCAGCCAAGAGACTCAACCTACTGCCTGGCGCGTGACAAAGAGCCCAATAGATGGCAGCCATGTCTGTTGGGGTTGTTCCTTAATGTTCACCCCCCACCTGACTTGGCCTGAGCTGGGATTGCAAAAAGAAGAAATAAATTTGGTGCTGATTTTAGAAACAGTTCAGGAGGCAGAACATTCCTGGATAAAATAACCTAAAGCCATGACCACCAAAACCTCTTTGAACAATTGCACCCCACCAAGGAGTCATGCTAGCGAAAGCGAGCCTCTCCACGGGGAAAGACCAACCCAGGGAGGCTTCCCAGAGGAGGGGGTTCTCAGCTTATCTCAAGGAGACGGGGGTGGGCGGGTCAGGGACTGGAGGAGAGCTGGGCCAAGGGCAGCCAGGAAAAGAAAGGGCTGTGGAAAATCCAGCAAGCTGTGACCAGCCATCCCGTGTGAATGATACATAATGAAGACATGGCCAGGTCTCCTGGCAAGAGGCCATCAGCCCCGACAACACCCTCCGGTGTCCACGGGCAAGAAGACAAATCAGAAATCACAGGTGCGCACGGTGGCGGACACATGACGGTCATGTCAGGGCCGGGCATCCGCCTGCACGATACAAATGTTTATGAATATTAATAACCATTTGTTCCCAAAGGACCACAAATCAGTTAATTAGGGCCCTGTCAACCTGTTTATATTATCTATAAATGAAAACCCATCAGCAGCCAAACATGAAATTAAGCGGCTGTGTGTGGGCCGCCGCCGTTGCTGGATAAATGACACAGCGGGCCTGCCGGAGCCCCCTCCCTTGGCACGGAGGTGGGTATTCCTCTTCCCTGCCCAGCTTTAATCAAGTCGGTGGTTACAGGAGGCACTTGATGGATGGTGCCTCGTGTGGCTTTGCTGCGTGGGGCGGGGGTGGTGGGTGATTTAAGACTGTCGGTAAATTAGCTGCAATCCAGTCTTGGAGGAGAGGGAGAATTACCTATAAATCAATGTTTCATAGACGGGTAATCAGGCCCCCGATCCAGGCCCTGATCACCCCGGGCCAGGCCCGTCCAGTCTCCTTCCCAGAGGTAGGGGGTGGGGGTGTGGCCATGCCAGGGCCCCCACCAGGCTCACCTTCCACCCTGACAGCTCAGCATGGGGGCTTGGGCACAGCCATGGGACTCAGAGTCAGTGGGGGAGAGCGAGACAGAGCTTGGCGCTGAGTTTCCTGCAGCAGCTCCCATGCGGTGCAGTGAGCAAACGGAAGGGGAGCAGCGCTGAGAGCAGAGGACCCTGCAGAGCAGGTGTGTGCTGGCCCAGAGGAGAAGCTGGTCTTCCACCTCACTCTACAGGGATTCCTTCCTGAAAAGCTCCTCCTTCCTGAACATCTCATGAGGCAAACTCTTGCACTATTTTTGCGTTGGGGCAAAAAAAAAAAAAAAGAAATGCATTTTCCTGATGACCTGTATGTTAAAACAGCACTGAATTCTGCACAGCTGCATTAAAGTGGGGACACTTTGCCGGGACAGTCAAGGTTCTCACGGTCCCTATTTTTCCAGAGTGGGAGACCCTGCTTTCTATGTGGACATTCCCAATGATTAGATTTGGGGACGTTTGTTTTTTAAAAAACAAATGATCCACATTGGCAGTCCATAAGCCAGCAGCCTGCCTGCACCCCCAGGGTCCTGGAAGTGCCATTAATTCTCACTCTGGGAGTCAGAGGTGCAGGGTCTGCCTCCCCCCAACTCCTGGACTTACAGGACAGATGTCTGCCCCCGTCCTGGCAGAGCCGGCAGGTCCTTGCCATGCTCTCCACGACAGCTGGCTCTGAGGCTTGCTCTCCACTGGCCCTAAAGGAGCCGTCAGCGGGAGGTGACAGCAACCATAATTCTGTTTTTATTATTATGGAGCGCCGGTCATTTCTGGCTGAGTGGCGCTGAGTGACGGGTAGTGATTTAGGAATCTTACAGAGGGATTAAGGAGGTGAAGCTAAATGCATTTCCTCCGAGGCCCATCCTGGCCACAAACACGTTTCTGTGGAGGATGCTGATAAAAAGCAAATTATTTTATTCTGTTCACAATCAATTCCAACTCCAGACTGCAGAGTCCCCCAAGAAATAAGGTATTAACATTTATCGTAAGGAACTGAATTCTTCGAGGAATAGTAATCCTTAAACAGACAGAGAAGTCATTTTTAAAGCATTAATATCCAGCAGTGTGTGCCCGCACATCCTTCTTTTTAACAAGCCGCTCGCTGTCCTGATGTATCTGGTGTGAGAAATGAACTCAAATCACATTTCTTTGGTAAGGCAAGGGTGGTGGGCCCCATGGGCGCCTGAACGAGGAGGAATTTGGCAGGGGGCCTGGTCTGTGCCAAGGATGTTGAGTCTCTCTAGAGGTCTAGCATCATTTCTCCATCTTCTGAGACAGCACCCTGGTTCTCTTTTGCAGAACCCCTTTCCCTTCCTGTTCCGTCGACGTGCTTTGGGTAAGCGTCTCCACCCTGGATGCAGGGATGGTGCAGCGGCAGGACAGCCACAGGGTAGGATCTCTATGACCCGAGCAGACAGGCTAAAGGAGTCGTTCTGGAGCCCTTGGTGGCTTTTTCAGGGTTTTATTGAGTTTACCAGGTACACCGCAGGCAGGGGTGCTGGGGGGTCGGGAGGCTGGCAGGCCTCCCAGCCCCCAGCAAATCTTCACTCTTCCTAGGCTCTCTGGCATTCTCTTGCGGCGTCTGCTTCTCTTCTACTCTGCTGCTCTGCTCTGCTGGCATTCCGGTGACGCCACCCTTATAAGCCCAGTCTCTCAGCCCAGGTGTACCCACCTACGCATGCTCACACCCTACTCCAGGTGCCCGCCATCAGGCATGCATTCAGGACCGCAGGGTTCCATCATCAACCCTAATGGCGGGAGGGCAGAAAAGCCTGATACTTTGCTTACCCTACAGATAGGCATGTGACGTATCCAGGGACGGGCATGTGCAGACTCTCAGGAGCCCTAGGGCTGTGGCACATTTGATGGCATGGGGGTTCCAGAGGGTCCATGCTGCATCCAGCCCCATCTCTGTCCCATCTTCCAAGCTGTCCACCTCCAAGGAAAACCAGACACTTCCTGGTCTTCTTGTCCCCACTCTGGCAGGGGGGACCCCACCAGGGGAGGTCCCTGGGGGGTGGGGAATGTGAAGGTCAGGTGGGCGTGTGTTCACCCTGAGAAGGCTCTAGGTCCAGGCATTGTGGCTTTGGAGCAGGCCCCGCCCTGGGTGCTGTGAGGGAACAGATGTGTTTCTATGGTCACCATGGAGATCTGCCAGCCTGGCAACCATGATGGGCAGCTGGGCCTAAGCAGGAAGCTTTTGTCTTCACAAAGCATCAGAGGCTTCCTCCTGTGCAAACACGGAAGACAAACCTGCCAGGCAGCCATGGAGACCAGTCATCCTTCCTAGCTGCCGGGGCCCTGACCTATCCTGACACCCCAAAGTAGGGCAGATATGTGTAGGGGCCTTGGTGAGCTCTCCTTGGACCATAGAAATAAATTCTGGTTCAATAAAGTTCAACCCCACCTCCTGCCCCTCCACTACTAGTTATGAACACAGGCTGATGCCAGCTCTGTTTCTAGAACAAAGCCCCTCCAAGTCTGCAGTGGAAGAAAGAGAACCCTGTGTGTCTCAAAGGAGTCCCAAGAAGTATGTTTTAGGTAGACGTGGATAACCAGAGCAAGGCAGGCCACTGGCCCAATCATTCACCCACTATCATAGCCCCTTCTAGATGCCAGCAGTGGACACCCCAGGTGCAGTCCCTCCCCATTGAGCTGGCACAAAGTGGGGGAGACAGACACTCCACACATTGACAAATATGATTCCAGTCCAGGAAACAAGACCAAGTCGATGGTGAGAGGTGGGGGTGGGGTGTCACATAGGACATGCTGGGAAGCTGTTCTGACACACGAGCAGGGGCCTAAATGAGAAGCAGTCACTCAATGAGGAGCACAGGGAAGTGTGATCCTGAGGTGGGATCAGCCAGTGCAAAGGCTCAGAGTCTACCTTATTTGAAGTCTAAAGTATTTGCCACTCAGTATTGTTCTTACCCGCTCAAGATGTACCTTGGCTTGATGAGGATGGAGGTACAACCTCCCACCCAGCCAGACCTTATAAGATTTTCCTCCTCGGGCCTCCCGGGTGGCGCAGTGGGTTGAGTGCAGCCCTGTGAAGCTGTCTGCAGCCTCTGCAGTGCTGATTCGATCCCCAGCCAGCCAGGGAGATTCCCACATGGCGCGGCAGACCTCTCCTGTCTCGCCCGCTGCTCCCCTCAGCAGTGTATTTCAGTCAGTCTGCCTGTTCTGCTTCCCACTCTGTCTCTGGTGAATCCTCTCACCCTCCCGCGCCTCTTGCCTGTACCCCAGCTCTTGTATAAATAAAAAATAAATCTTAAAAAAAAATAAAGGTTTCCTTCCTCTTCTGGAGAGCAGGGCAGTGAGGGGTGCAGGGAACAATATGGGGTCCCCTCTCTCAAGTTAACTCAGCTACTGGCCTGATAACCAGGTCCTTTCATAGCTTTAAACCACAGCACCGGAAGTCCCCCTTTAAGGTCACCCCAGTCCCGTTTCCCCAACGTGAGCATTCGTACCCCCAGCACCTTGCTGCTTACCTGTGTGCATCTCAGCTGTGCGGGGCTAGCCACACCCTCACATGCTGGCTTGCAGTTCACCTCATCCTGGGGACAAACAATCATGGTATCATCAGTAGTTCTTTTATCTCTAGAAATAGTTTTTTAAATTAAAATTTGTGCACCTTGAGGCCACCTGAAACCCACCCAGGAGGGACACTTCGGGAAATGCTGCTCCAGCCCGGCCCCTGAGCACAGGGATTTGCACAAAACCATGAGGTCTGCGAGGCCACATCCTTCCACCCTCGTCTGTGCTCTGGGCTGGCTCTCCCCCCGCCGAGCTTCAGAAAGTGACCAAATGGCCACGGCCTCTGAGCGCGCAGCCTCAGTTCTCAGCATCACACGTTCTCTCTGTCTCGCCCCCTCCCTTTCTCCTTCCCTCCTCCCGCCCCCTCCTCTGGCCTCTGCATAGTTCCCAAATCACCAAACAGGTTTTCAAGCCTCAGCTCTGCCTCACTCACTTACTGCAAGCCATTCTCTGCAGGTGAAACAAGCTCCTATTTCACCCCTTCTCTGCAAAGAGGCAGAAAGAGGCTGTTCCTTGAGAATATTCTGAGTCACCCTCACATCATATGAGCCCGTGGCCTCCATCAGAACCGCTCAGGGAGGGCGACCGGAAGTACGTCCTGGACTCAGAGACACTCAGGAAGACAGAACAACAAACAAAACCAAACACGGTCAGGGTGGAGCTTCCGGCCCCCTGGGAAGGTCATCCACAGCCAGGCCAGCGAGGGGATGCTCTAAAGTGAATGCCTGAGACCGAATCGCTGGTCTTCCCAACGTTCCAGGCAGATTCCTTCTCATCCTTCAAGACTTGGCTTAGGTCTGCTCTCTCCTGGCAGAGAAGCACCCACGCTCTGGACGGGGTGCTCCTCCCCAGGCCCCCAAGGCACTTGAGAAGCAGCCGGGAACTCAGGAGATGGTCAGCGAATGAAACCCATGAGCGAGTGTTTGTGTTCAGGAAGGATAATTGGGGAGGTGCTCGTGTTTGCAGGCCTGGATGGTAAGTGGGTGTGTTCGTGAGCTTGCTCACAGATGAGGCTACATCTGCATGTGTGTGTGCATGCAAGTGTGTGTGCGCATACGTGTGTGTGTGCACGCGCAGTGACCTGTGTCTTCTGGTGGCAAAGATGCAGTCTTCACCCGATGATGTCCCTGCATCTGAGTAGGCGGTTGGGGGTGGTCCAAACACGTGCGAGTGTGTGCTCAGTAAGTGCATGCACGTGAGTGTGTATATATGTGTAAGAGTGTATGCATTTGCCAGTGTGTCTGTAGTGTGTGTGTTCTACAAGAGCGTGTGCAGAATATCAGACTGCTACCTCTAGTTGTTCCCACCCCAAGGTGGCACCCCAGGAGGCTCACCCTGAGTGCCCACACAGCCCTGCCCCCTCCACTCAGTCCCAGGCAGCTCCCTGACTCCCTCCAGAGAGAGAAAAGGAGGGAAGGAGGCTCAGTTTCACCCCAGCCCTTGGCCCACACACCCACCTGCAGGCTTACTCCCATGTCTTTCCATCTGCTGGGGCCAGGACTCCCAATCTCAAAGATTTGTAAGGTAGAAAGGCCCTCGAGCTAATATCTCAGCTCCTTGCTATGTCCCCAGGAAAGAGCAGGCTGTGTGGATTTATTCTTGATTAAATAATCTATGCTAATGTAGGCACCAGGAGGCCATGGTGGTCCTGGGCTATAGCCCCAGGGAGTCATCAGAGTGGCCTGGGCCCCATGCTGGGGTACTCAGCCCCTCTCTCCTGGCCTGCCAGTTCCCAGCCAAGGCAGACTAGCATCTCCACGTCATAGACCTATGAGTGGGGGCTCTCTAAGTGGTTCCAGATGCCAGCCCCCCCCCCCCGCCCTGTGCAAGGAGGCCGCTCCAAACCAGATGCCTCCAGGAAGCCACGGCCCCTGCTGCCCCCACACCAACCCCAGCGCCCCACGGAGGGCTGAGGAATTTGATCCACAGAGAGAACCTAAGAGCAGCAGGCAGCTGGGATCGCACAGAGAACCTCACCCTTGCTGACACAATCTTCATTGGCTGGGGGTGGAGGGGGAGGCAGTAGGCCACCTCTGTACAGATGCCAGACTATTCATTTTTCATAGAAAATTCCAGATCGCAGAATTTTCTTGCAGAGACCTGGCTGGTGATGGTATGCACAGGTAGCAGCCTCCTCTGGGGAGGCAGGGGCAGGGGTGGGGACTGTGCATTCCAGGGCTCATAGTGTCCAGTTATGCCCCCCAATCCTACCCCCCCCGCCCCAGCAATTCCTGATCTCTCCCTTCACCTGGGCTACCAGGCCTCTGTAGATGAATGTTCAGAGATTCTACAGTAAGGGGGGAAAATTAAATATACAAAGTCTCTAGTTTGCTATTGAAGCCACCTCTGATGCATCCAGGCAGGCACAGATGGGGGGCCAAAACCCCCTGCAGCTTCGGCCTCCACATGTCCCTGTTCTCCCAAACTGTCCCTGGAATGCCGTCCTCACAGCTTCTCGTAATGTCTAACATTGAATCCTTCAAAGACAGGCTTCCAGGCCACCTCCTCCAAGAAGTCCTCCCTGATCTGGTAAGCCCAAATGCAAGTGCAGATTAAGACCCATCAAGGGGTCACAACAACTGCTCTGAACAACTTTTAACAGTCCAGGCCTGAGCAAACCCCCAACCTCTCTCCGGGGTGTTCCCAGTCTGCCCCTGCCCTCCCCAACTCTCAGTCCTGCCTTTGACCTCAGAGTCCAGGGCAGCCCCAGAGCACCAGTGTGGGTGTGGAGCAATGGATGGGCGCCTGGGAAGGCCATGTCAGCCTGTGGCAAGCAGGGCCTTTTATCACCAGAAGAAAAGTCAAGGTCAGCTAATGGTCTGCAAAGGCTGCCATTAGCTGTGGCAATGACTGAGTCTGCCAGGGGTACGGCAGCAATAAACCATATTCAGTGGTTTTATAACACCAATAATAGGTTAGGAAGCAAAGCGCTGCCCATCTGCCGCTGAGCTGCCCGGAGGAGCTCACGTCACTGTCTACCATCTCTAGGTGATGTCGCCCCATCGGCAGCCTCACACACAGCCTCGGAACACTCCAGGGACACCTCCAAGAGGCCATGGAGGGAACTGTCCAGGACCATCAAGGGCCTTCAAACCAACGACCCTCAGTCAGGGGATCATTTATCTATAACTCTTGCAGTTTGTCACCTCCTTGCTGTGTCTTTGGGCAGGCGATATGGCCTCTCTGTGCCTCAGTTTCCCCATTGGCCAAATAAGGACCACTGTAGCCACTGAAGGAAGGAGTATTTGTTGCATGGAGACACACTCAGAAAGTTCTCAGAGAATGCCAGTGATTATTGCTATTTCCCCAGCAGATCAGCCACCAACTCAAACCTTGTCATTCACCCTCAGCTCCCTGGTTTCATGACTCCGGTTAATCTAGTGATAAGTACATGTTCTGCTTAATAGAGCTCTTTATGATAGAAATCACCTTCTCTATTGACATTTCAAAATCTAAAACCTGGGTCATTTGTAATCCACAGAAACAGCCCTGCAGAGGCCACAGAGGCTCTGGGCCTGACCCACTCTGTCCTCAGAGGGAGGGCTCAGTAAGTGAGGGCTGGCGGAGGGCGTGTGTTGGAGGCAGGATCATCATCAGGATTTTGAAGAGCTATCTGCAGCCCTATATTTACTGATGCATCATTCACAATAGCCAAGACGTGGAAACAACCTAAGTGCCCATGGACAGAAGGGTGAATAAAGAAAATGTGGTGTTTACATGGGAATATTATTCCAATGGAATATTATTCAGTCATGAAAAGGAAGGAACTTCCTTTCCATAGCAATACGGCTACTAAATGACACAGCTGGGGCTTGAGCCAGGTGACCTGGCTGCAGAGACATAGCTCAGCCATGACTGCCTTGGGACGAGGGACAGTTTTCTTGGATCAGGTCAACCCCATGAATATGTGCTAAATGGAAGGTGAGCAAGAAGCCCTTCCAGTAACAGAGATTCAATTTCCTGCCAGACCAGAGAGGGGCTGGACCAGATTTTCCAATAATTTTTAAGAAATAAAAAAATTCCCAAAATTCCTTGTTGGTGGGCAAGCCTCATTTTTGAATTTATGTCTCTCTCCTTACTGAAAGGTGTTTTCCAGATCCCCCCTCCCCTGCCATCAGACACACGGTACCTGGCCCTCTGCTGGAGTCCTGAAACCAGAACCCAGTGCCGGGCCTGGTGCATAAACAGCACCAGGTGACGGGGCATCAGCATGGCTCTTTGGCCATGAACCCTGAGTCTGGGGGTCCTGGGGACAAGGTTTTCTAGGAGGGACTGGTTTCCACAGTGGCAGATTCCATGGGAAGGTGACAACAATGGCCTCTGTAGATCTAACTCCTCGAGTGTCTTTCCCAGGGCTGGGCCTCCCCCCTACTCTGCCTCAACTCTGGGGTGGGAAGATGGTCCCACCTGGGTGGCATCTTCCCAGAGGAATGAAAGAAAGCAGAGGTTAAGAGCGAGGTCTTGAGTCAGACCCTCAGAGTTCAAATCCCAGTTCTGTCAGTGAGTAGCTGTGTGACCTTGGGCCAGTCGCTTTACCTCTCTGCTCTAGCGTCCTCATCTATAAAATGGACTTGCAATGGCACCTCCTGCAGAGGGGATTATGGGGACCCAATAGACCAATTAATTTAATAGAGGTGTGCGCAGCACCCCGCTGGCTCAGCTGTGTTTATAGTTTTGTCTCAGGCTTCTAATCTTAACCCAGATAGAACTTGGGGAATGGCAGGTGAAAGTAAACCAAAAATGAATATGGCTGCCAACCAGAAACACAAAAACATGCCCCCCAAAGCAGCCGAACACTGTGGTTTTCTCTGCAGACCAGGGTGCCAAGTTCTTTTCCAACACCCAGATCACACAGAACGAAGTCTGGCCCCAACCTCAGACCAACAAGAAGCCATGCAAATAACTAAGTAAAGAAATTAAACCCCAAAGCGCTGCAGGTGCTGGAGGGCGATCCTGGCTCATCATCAGGCACTGAAAGGAAAACAACGCGGCTTCTCATTCCCGGGGCTCGGAGCCAGGCTGGAGCTGGAGGGTCACCTCGGAGAATGGCTGCAGAGAAGCAGCATCTGGAGGGCGCCAAGCAAGTTTTCATGGCCCTGGATTTTTGTTTACAAAGTGAAAAACTCAGGGTTCAAGAACTGAGGCTGAGAGGTGGCTGTGCGGGAAGGGCCCCAAGAACACAGCAAGACCAGCTCCCTGCCGTGCTCGCACTCGCTAGCTGGTCCTGGGGTGGCAACACAGACCAGACTCCCGTCTCCTCCCAAGTCACCCCACTTTGGGGTTTTGGGTGACCTGGGAGGGACAGAGACAGACCGACCGGGCATCCTTAACAAAGCGGCACAAAGCCACTTGATTTCACCTGACATTTGAGTGTGAGATTTATATGGACAAGTGTTCTTGGAACTTAGGTAGAGACTGAGCAGAATGGGAAGGTTCTGCCACAGTGTCGCTACATGTCTTTACACATTACTTTTTACACGTCTCCTCCCCATCCATGTTATGCTCGCCCCCCGGGGCCATATGCCCCTGAAACAGGATTCATCAATATTTTGTACCCAGAAGCCATCTGCAGAGTCTCAGAGCGAGGCGCTTGGGAC